TTCATTCGTTTTTAGTACACTCTTAGGCTCGATCAAGGAAAATGCTAAGTAAAAAGATGAATTCAAGAAAATGTTTTTTCGTTTTCATTTGGTTATGTATTCCAATTTTAGAATCCATGAACCAAACAGAGTCTTAACTAATTATTTTTGTTATTTGTGTGCAGTGGCGGCGTTATGTCTCCAGAGCACAGTTTGGAAATGAAAACAGATATATACTGCTTTGGAGTCATAGTCTTGGCGATGATGAGTGGCAAGAGCGTAACAACGGCTTCATATATTGCGTCCCTTATCGTATTTGTAAGTACGAACTATTTTATACTCCCTCCATTTTTTTTAAGTGTAGTTTAAGGTTAATGCACATCAGTTAAAAAATATATTAAATAACCTTGATTTTAGAAGAAAAAAATTATCTGACAAAATTACCCCTTTGTTTTTTCCAACTTCTGTCTATTAATGTTCTTATATATCATTAATGGTGGGGTAGAGTTGGAGAAAAAAAATTGTCTTACATTAAAACTTCAAAGTGATACGTAGTGTGGCAAAACTAAAATTGATTATTATAATTACTAGCATTTTTCTCACGTGCGATACATGGGATATTATTTAATACATAATAAGAAAATATTTAATACATTAATATAATAACATTTAATAATGTAGTATTATTCATATTGAATATCTAGCTTTATCTCTTAAGATTTGAGATATATTGATGAAAATTAGGAGTTCAATAATTGTTGAAAATTATAGTTAAAAAATTAGTACAGAAAAAATATTAAAAATAAATAATTACATAAGTAGCAATAAGGTAGGATTCTTCACGGATTAGTTTTAATTTTGATAATTGTTAAAGATTATAGTTAGAAATTAGTAGAGAAAAAATATTAGAAATAAATAATTACACAAAATCCATTAGGGTTTTTTTAGGGTTGCTCAGCGTTTCTTTCTTTTATATATAAGATTAATTCGGAAAAATAAATCTTTAGGCAAGGACGGTGAAGAGTAAAGGCACGGTAATTGAGATGGTACAAGATATCCTTAGGGCGACACATGTACTCGACGAAGCGCGGAAATGCCTTGAAGTTGGTGTCTTATGCACGGAACTTGATCCAGATAGCAGACCAACAATCACTTCAGTGCTCGAAATTCTACGAGGTAACTAAGATGGAATTTGCGAGTAATAATTGCTTGTTACGAGCAAGTATGCATGTATGTTGAGTGTGTTATAAGGCTATTTGTAAGGCGATTTATAAAGAGCGGGAAAAAAGTGAGATAAATTGCTTGTTCTCCGGTTTGTATGTTGTAATAAATATCTCACTTTAGTTTGTTAATACATGCAATAATATATATATATATATATATATATATATATATATATATATATATATATATATATATATCTAAAC